TCGGACAGCGGCACACAGGTGAATATCACTTCGACGTCTGACCATGAAACACAGACAAAGACTGTACCCGGTATCCACCAGGCTATGCAGACAGAGACCTTCTACTCGGACAGCGGCACACAGATGTATGGCGCTTCAAACCCTGGCAATATCATCTTCCAGAAACATACCCAGCATACCCCGATATGGAAGGACCTGCCCAAACCTGAACGCGGACAATGTCCTGGGATTATGCAGGACAGCACTGAAACGTCGATGAAATGCGCTTCAAGGGCAGAAGCCGGGCAACTTGTACCGCAAGCTGCATTCACTAACAGCTGTTTGGACAACTATACCGCGCCGCAGCAAGGCCCGACCGCCACCGAGACGAAACTCGTTGGCCTGCGCGAGGACATCGGGACTGTCTCCGAGGAAGTGTACTTATCTCTTGCGGACGCTCTATCAGGCAAACTCGTACGCCCTCCGAAGCCGATAAACAAGGACACTGTCAAAGATTTGGACCTCCGAAATTTAAGCCTAGTCGTGCTCAATGGATTTTACAGCCTCGCTTCGAGGTGCACAGAGAAACAGGAAGCCTTTCATCACATGATACAGCAAGAGAAAGATGTGGGCAAAGTACAACTGGAACTGCTTAAAGTGACAGCAACCGCGCGAAACCCAAGTCAAGCTCAAGACAGCGCCGACTTGCAGATATACAAGGAGTCAGTGGCGAGATTTCTGCAGATCATGGCCACGACGGCGCCGCCATCTCCTCACCGCGGCGTCATGGAGCCGGAGGACTTGATGAACGCCCTCACAGCTGCCTCAGACCTCCAGCTCAACGTGATCAGCGCACAATGCACGGCCGCCGTGGTGAAATGCATAAAACGCTGCTTGGGTAACCATTGCGGCGCCCAGAGGCAGCAGCAGCAGCGGGACCGGGAAGCGATGGTGCGTCTCAAAAATATCCTGCGAATCATTAAGAAGCGATTCCAACAAGCTGCGAATATGCTAGGAACAGGTTGGAAGGGCGAAGGAGCATTTCTGTCTATGGTTGACAGGCGTGTGCTGCCCGAGTTTCGACGCGCTCTTGAGTTGCAAGACGGCGAAGCATCTGAACTGGTCGAGGCCGTACTGGCCATCTTATTGTTCTCCGAGCGGAGGCGAAGCGTCTCGGCCCACAACAACTTTCACCTGCGCATTCCAGACCAGACACCCATCACGGTAGACAATACGCAGTGGTTCATTCTGGGCGTCACGACAGACAGCGCCAAGCCGCACCACAAGTGCGACGTCACCATGGTGCAGACGAGGACGCAGCGGGACGGAGACGGTATACAACTGCATACAAGGATGGAAAACATGACCAAATTGCTCCGCCGGCTCGATGCGCGCGGTGCGGCGGCCGTCGCTGAGCAAATATACCACTTTTGCGCGCGCGAGTCGATTCGAACAAATCAGCTGCCGCTGGGCGTCCGGGCTAAGGACATAGTCCGCAGCGGCGACCGGTATATGCTCCAACTGCGTGACCTTGCGACGCCCCAGGGGCCGTACACAGCGAGAATGCTAATGCCGCTCGGTGCGCATCTGCAGGGGTGGATGAGCGTGGTGCCAGGACAGGAACAGGGAGAACCATACTGCCGACCAACACAGCACGCTTCAGCGCCTGTTCTGATTGTGGCCATTCATTGATCGTTCGATTTGCTGAACACCCCAAGGCAACAAGACGAAACGAATGAGAAGAATATGAGATGAAAAAACTCGGGCACCTGATTGACTGACTGCTTGCGGCTGTGTTGTGCTCCAGTAAAGTGCTCAAAGTACTGGACTTGGCTGGCTGTATTTATCCTGGGAAAAGCATCGAGCTATGCTCTGCCATCAATTTGTTGTCCAGCGCGGGAAGGGATCCGCATAGTGCGAAGACAATGTTTTACACATTGAAAGCTTTCGTGGAGCTGGAAAATTCAATCGGAGCTATGTTTTAACTACCACCTTCGAATGTGAAGGACGGCTAGGTCTACATGATAACCTACATTCCTATATCTTCATTCGGAATGCGCCTTGGCTGTCCAAATTCCGCTGACAGGAACTTGAATCCGTGATTGTGATAGACTCAGCGGGCATGGGACTATACGTGATGTGAATTCGTTAGAACAGCCAGCCCACGTCGATGCCCAAAATGCTTTGTTCCGTTTTCTGCAGTGAAACAGCCAAGCACACTGCAAGATCACGTCACCGAATTACAACTTTTCACTGCCTTTGGCGGTATCTCTCCCAACATTTCTTCTTCCAATGCAAGTGAACAGAGAGTGGACGAGAAAACTAGAGACCAACAAATACAAGTCATGATGTGGCAAGGAAAACAGACCCGGCCTACATTCTTCCTCCCTCTCCTGTGCGTGTACATATACTTACATATGCTTACATATATTAATACATTCATTCATTCATTCAGTCCCCAAATCTCCACACATCTGTCGCTAATCTGAGCCTCCAGACACCAACTGGCAGCTGCGCATCAG